ACGGCGTCAGCAATTCTGACGACCAAGGCCAAGCAGCGGCCGGAAGAGAGAGAGAGCAAGCGATAGAATGAGACAGCTCTAGTGAGGCGAGTGGATACAACTCACCGGCACAGACTAGCGCAGAGACGAGCGAGTTACGGGAAAACCGGCATACGTACGAACTACGCCCTAGGATACGGCGTAACTATAGAGAGTAAAGACGACCGGAGGCAGACGCTCGCGAAAAAGTAGCAGAAATGGCGTACAAAACTAACAGGGTTAGTTTTAAGATAGACAGGGTAACATCGCAAGGGATGGCTGCACGTTTGTTACCAAAGCACAAGTTATTTGCGAATTTTTGCGCGACCATTGATTTTTTTAGGGCCAGACGGTAACAAGGGACCGAAACCGGGAAGTAGGCATTGTGATGCATCCCGGAGATTGCTAATTGGCTACGGGTGAAGCAATTCGCCTGATTATAGGGTTTACGACCCAGAACCCTTACCCACGTTGAGCCGAGTGTAGGCAAACTTACAGAGTGTATTGAAGACGGGACGGTACGATTGGCATAAGGGTAACGCCCACAGCCGAAAATGGGACGCAACTGTTCAAGCAGTTCCATTTTGTTTTGTATCGGTCAGGATTACACCCTGTGCACTTGAGAAATGTTATGAGAGGGTAACCAGATAATTAGGACCCACTTTTTTTTTGGAATGCATGACTATATGTAGTAGTGAAGCCTACACTAGCAGAAGCAGATGTGTGAGCAATCCGGAGGCCCTATGAGCATTCCGGGCAAAGAGGCCCGAGAGTTATCCGCAAAGCGGGAAGTTGCGACCAGTTCGTCGGACAGCGACGCTCCCAGCGAGTCGGCAGCTGAGCCCGAGGCAACGGGAATAGTCCAGAGAGAGAGCCGCGCCGCAGTTCCGGACCCCCTTGCTCTCAGAGGAGGTCACGTATGGAACAACACTAGGCACTCCGAGATGACCCAGGGGACGGACTCATTTTCGTCACCGCCCCCACAACAATGTCCCAGCTACAGCAGCAGCTGAGACCAGGCCCGGACGAGGAAACGAGTTTGGAGAGGAGCCGTCGCCGATTCCAGAGATGGCAGTCTACCAATCTGTCTGTGGAGGCACAGACTGGTCATCTTCGCCTTCCGAGCGAGCTACCCAAGGGGAACAGCCAGACACAGGAAGGACGAGCCAAGAGAGAGAGACCAACGGAGATGGCAGCTGAAGGGGATCAGCAGGCCAGAGACTTTCGAGTTCGATCCGAGACTACAGTGTTCCGTGATGAACCCAGACTAAGTGATGAGCAGACAGAGTGAACAGATGTGGAGAAGCCATATCAAACATTAAAGATTTTTTTTGTAACAAGTGTATAATTACAACATTGATGTTATAATGTTAGAGACTACAGAGAGACATATATAGAAAACTAGTGTAATATTCCCAGTTAAAGGGAATAGCTCACGTTTTGTGTGGGGGATGTTGTGGCCTGAAGGCCGACTCCAGGTAATGTTAAAAGAGTAGTTAACTTTTTTGTATTTTAGGGGAAAATATTGGTTAGGATAGAATTAGTTTTTTGAAATGCTTGTAAGATGTACGAAAGCGGATGTAGGAAGGGTTAAGGAACTTCAAGGAATTTCTGCATATGGACTTAGACGGACATTGGCTTGCCACGCGGGAATGTCCAGTCAGCAGAATGATGTTGAATGTATATCGAACTGCTAACTACAGAATTTACACTTGTGTGATGGGGGGGACGTTTACAGGTAAAAGTGTTAGCCAAATGGTCTAGCAGTAGAAGAGGGTGTGATCCCTTAGGATACCAGCCAACGAGATCACCCACCTTGGGACAAGACGTCATTGGAGGCGGAACTGCACCCCCCAGGGAAAATAATGAGTTAGCCTGAATAAAGGTATATAACCCAGAGAGCAAATTATTATGGGGATTATTCTAACGGTAATTTTGGCCAATTGCATCCGAAGGCCATGTCAGAATGGGCACCGACTAGACACCAGGCAACGCCATCCGTCTGCAGACTCAACAAGTGGAAACTACTCTTATCGCCATGCTTAATAATTGTGATATTATTAAAGTGTAACCCCTCCAATGGGACTTGAGTTAGGAACGTTACAAGTGTACAGGGCGTAAGAGTGTTCTAACGGAGTGATGCAGGGGTAGACAGGTGTAATATAGAGACTGCAGAGGGTGTGTCTAGCGGCAGGGATGTGTAGAGAGATATATATACCGTATTTACGCATGTATAGGCCGCAGCACAATTTTCAGACAGAAATTATAGAAAAAATAATTATCTTGGAATATTATTTCAGGAGTAGAAATTATTCCGAAATTTGGCAACGTTTAACATTCCTAAGTTCGCAACTAGCGAAAATAACGGTACCGCTTGGAACAAAGGCATTGCGGGGGAGAGTTATAACCTTTTCGCCTTTACTTGACTTGCCTGGTTAGTTCTGAGTGAAACATGGGTCGAGTAAGAGCAGGTTATACGTCTAAATTTAAACTTCAAGTGGTG